CTATGCCTCATTTTGAACTACAGACTAGATAAAATACAGCCAGGAAGCAGCACTCGCTGCCACATGGGCTTTATCAGGATTGCCTGTCGCTTTTGTAATATACGACCAGCTGAAAGTGTGGACCGTGTTTAGTGGGATTATATATCTAACCCATTTGTATTTGTTTTTAATATTCGCGCAAAGCTGCACACGGGATATCTGCAGTAACTGTTCCTAATTTTGAACTGATAGACTAGAGGGAAGGCAGCTAGTCAACAGCACCTAATGGTGACTCTAAGACTACTTTTTCCTGATCAAATAGTGGAATTTGACCAAAATGTGGAGCACGACTGTGCGGAAACGAGACACGAACTATGGACTTATGAATTTATAGTCCAGCACGCTAACCTTTAGGCCAGCCCAGAATACGTAAAAATGAAAGAAAACAAATGAATGTGTATTATTTTCAATTATAGTTGTCTTTCATTTGAAAAAACACAGATAGCCCACCACGAGTATCGAAACCCGGTTTCTAGCGTTGTAAATCCGCTTCTGGTGGGCAAATTATTTCATATACAATATACCAAATTTTAGTTTGAAGCTAGGTTTAGTACTATATATATGTGTGCAACGTAAAAACTCGGTAAATTCATAAGCATTAAAAATGATTATATATCGTTAGAAATCTTATGAACCTCAAAATCACACGAAACAGATAGGGTTCATTTTAATACTAAATAAATGTTAGACCTAGCGTGGCCTGGTGATCAGGGCACTCGACTCATAATCTGAGGGTCGTGGTTTCGAATCCTATCTTTCAGCCGTAGGGGCGTCATAATGTGACAGCCAATCCTGCTTTTAGTTGGTAAAAAGTAACCCAAGAATTTATAGTTGGTGGTGTTGACTATCTGCCTGTCCTCTAATATATCACTTTGAAATTATGGACAAATAACGCAGACGCAACTCATATAGCTTTTCGCGAAATTCAACAAACAAACAGAAAAGTTATTATACTTTAATAATTAGTAAAACAAGTAGAATGCCTCGTGAACACCCAAGCTACTACTAGTTTAATGGTGATTATTTCCACCACCTCGCAGTTACTGCTGCTTATTGTTATGAAGAGAGAGTTACCTAATTAAATGCAAATAAAGAGATAGGCAAATGTATGAACTACATGGAAATTAATACAAAGATAAAGCATAAAGGTTATTTCCAGGAAGGTATTACATTTGTACAAAACAGTAAATTATATCACTGTATAGAGGTGAAATGTTATTCCAATCGGATATTACTTCTGACATGCATTAAACGATAAATGAATCTCAGGAGGTTTATTCATCGTTACTGTTATTACTATTACTTAGTTTTATGGAGAAACGTTAGGGTAAAATATAGTTATTCTAAAGTTATACAATTCAATATTACCTTTTTTTTTAAACAAATGTTAATCTTGGTATGACACGTTACATGCCAATTCTAGGTTGAAATAAAACTTGAATGAAATATTAAACTATGAGATGTTATTACTGTTGAAGTCACATATTAACATGTTTATGATTATGAGAAAATTACTTGGATGTAGTTTGTTCATTTTCTGGTGAATTGTCGCACATTAAAAAAAAACAAAGGAACAAAAGAACGTCTCATTAAGTAAGTTTGGTAATTAGAACAATCGATAAACGTTTGCTTGTTTTCCAACTTATCTGAAAGTGCTAAAGGTCTTTATCTTGACTTCTTATTCTTTATCTACGTATCTATGATGCAATTAAGCAAAAAGGCTTATTCTTGTCCTTAGTAAATTTCCCTGCCGGCTTAGGAATGCCCGTTTCATAAAGATTAAATACATTATTACTATACACAAATACAGTAAAAACAATGTCTAAAACAACATTTTGTTCGCTTGAGCAGTGGTGTAGTAAAATAATTCAATTATAAGATCGTTCGAAGGATCAGGGATTATCGATTTTGTTTTAAATCTATAATGGAGTTTCTCCTTAAAGCCTTTCCTTGAAAACAGTTATATTTCCAATGGTTTTTTTTCTCTTGTTTAAGCGCAAAGCTACACAAGTAACTATCTTAACTGTGCCTATCGCGTGTATCGAAACCCCCATCTTTTAGCGTTATAAGCCATCAAACTTACTGCTAAGCCACCGAGAGCGCTACATTTCTAATGCTTTGTTTTGTTTGTTTTGAATTTCGCGCAAAGCTACACGAGGGCTATCTGCGCTAGCCGTCCCTAATTTAGCAGTGTAAGACTAGAGGGAAAGCAACTAGTCATAACCACCCACCGCCAACTCTTGGGCTACTCTTTTACCAACGAATAGTGGGATTGACCGTCACATTATAACGCCCCCACGGCTGAAAGAACGAGCAAGTTTGGTGTGAGGGGGATTCGAACCCGCGACCCACAGATTGCGAGTTGAGCGCCTGAACCACCTGGCCATTTCTAATGCTAAACTTATTTTAGGACATTAGATGAATACGAATTCCAACGTTACTGTGTTTGGGGAAAGGAAAAGCAGAATAATTGGGTTAAAAAAAAACACCTTAAATATGCAGTAGAAACACTCGTTTAGTAGCAAAAGCTCCCACCCATTCGCCGTCTAATAAAAAAAACTAACCCGGTAACTTTTTATAAGTTTTCGAAATTTTGCCAATAATTAGTGAAAATACAAACTTTTTCATGACCGAGTTTGCAAAATATGTTTAAAATAATAACAGGACCATTTATCGCAATATTATATAAAATTTTGTTTTTGACCGTCATTGAGTTGTCGGAGCAATAACAGGGAAAGCTGAAGGAGAATTACAAAATATTTACTTCCACTGTGATACATTAAGTCGAACAACCATTCATATTCCATGCCCTATTAATAGAAACAAAAGAATAATAAACGTTGGCTATTTTATTTTAGATGATAGATTACAAAACTGTTAAATATCATGATACAACACTTAATGTTCACATTGTGAAAATGGTAAGAAGGAAAAATTATTGTTAATGTCCAATGGGCTATTTGCGTTCTATCCACTACAGGCATCGAACCCCGGATTTTAGCGTTCTAACTTCGTAAAGTTACCGCTGTCCCACCGGAGGACGGGCCATTACACATAAAGGAAATATACCAAACAAAGAAATAGCTTTACTTTTAGCTTTTCGCTCGATTAATTCACATCTAATTTAAGAATTCATAATACTAAAATATTCTCACCTTTTTATGGCTTATTTGAGATTTTCATTGCTTTATAAAAAAACAATTTAACAATCTACGCTGAGGCAAAATATAAAAAAATCGAAATAGTTTCTACCAAAAAACAGCATATATTAAATTTCAGCTTGAACCAGTTTTATGGATAATATAATGCGTGTGTGTTTTTATAGCAAAGCCACATCGGACTATTTGCTGCGTCCACTGAGGGGGAATCAAATCCTGATTTTAGCGTTGTAAATCCGTAGATTTGCCGCTGTCCTACCGGGTAACGGTAACAGAATACAAGCTAGAATACGAAATGAAGTTTGGGTATTCGTATTATATTATTATCAACATGTGATATGATAAAACCATGTGTATAAAAGCTGAAGTCCCTTGATAATTACCTTCCCCAGTGGCTTAGCGGTCAATCTGAAAGCTTAACGCTTAAAACTGGGTTTCGATACCACAAATAGTCCATTGCATAACTTTGCACATAACAACAAACAAACCCTTGAAAATTAAAGATAGCCATGCATGGCAGAGGTTTGAGTAAGATATATGATAACGATTTTGAATACAAAAATCAGTAAATCACGTAACAGCCACAGCCGATATGAAATTGTGGTGGGACGGTATGCAACAGAATTACATTTGGACTTAGTTTGGTGTTTTGTAGGCAATTTTATGTTACCGAAAATTTATCACTTTTGGGAAGGGTATGAATAACCCTATCGGGCACAAATTATTCATACATTCAAATAAAAAAGACATGTTCAGCTCGAAAATTTAGAATTATCATGATGGGGGAATGGGTATCCTTTGCACTTAACTTAATAAAAAAGAATTTGGATTAATTTGGGGTACCAGGACCACCTAGAAAGAGACCTGCAACAAGTCGCACCCCAGTCGTGGTAAGCAAAGTAAGACGTATTGTAATAGGTGTTGAGAATCCACGTACTCGAATGTCAGTGGCACAAGCCATTCACGTGCCACAGACAACAGTACTTATTATAATCAAGAAGAATCTTTGTCCGGAAACGAGGCTAATAAGGTATGGGTTCATTAAGTCAAGGCTTCCAGTCATACCTCCTGTTGAACTGTCGCATACCTTAAACAGCTGGAGAATGAAACGGATATTCATGCTATTCTATACAATGGCATAGTGACCAAGTCACCGGACGCAGTGCCTATGGATATCAGTGCAATATGACCGTTAAAATGAGCGCTGGTAAGCTGTTGTTCTCCCACACAAGATGAGTAATGGAAAGTATGCAGCGGGAAGTGGCGTGCTTTGGGCCTGACAGCCTTACAACGGTGCCTTATGTAATGAAAACTATGCTGTAGGGCTATTGTCAAAATTACGGTCGTCAAATGGAACATGGCTGGACGTTGTGACATAGACTGTAATGATATGATGAGACTCCAAAATTGTTTTAATATAACGTACTAAACCTCTGTATAAGTAGTTTTTAATTTCAGGACTATTCTCCACAAAATCAAATCGCTGAAGTTGGATTACATATAATGCGAAATGTTCGAATTAAAATCTATATTCTCACTATCTCTTGATTTTCTTGTCAGAATACACTTAGATTGGACCGATAAAACAGAAACAAATGTTGGAAGTACCTTCTCTACTAAATGTTTGATTGCAAATGGTATACTAAATACTTGTTAGTCAAGTTTGGTAGCACGAGTCAATTGTAAGAACGCGGGGCTCTGAATGCGCACGCTCAAGGTCCTAGAATGCATGAACGCGTAGATTTACCAATAAATGTGAGGTGCCACGGAAGGTTACGTGCTGGGCATTAAGGGAGGGGGATGTTTACCGCGTAGGGCAAGCGATCTTTCCTCAGAATCGATGATGACGTCGAGCAGCAAAGGGGAATGAGACCTCGATCCGCTCGGTGAATTAGCTACCAAAAGACTGGCCACACTAAGCTCTAACACTGATGTGTAGAACGATGTAAAGTAGTGAAGATTTTCTGTAATTGTAAGTGTCGCTGTTATTTGTAAATTATTAATAGCAACAAAATTACCTTCCAGATAAAATGTCTTGTTCACTATCTTATTTGATACTGTTTTGGTAAATTTCTTATATTAAAACAATTTTCTAGGGAATTTCACTACCAGTAAGTCCTTGCAATGTTATTGTTCAGAATGAAGATTAATATTTTTATACTTTTTGTTTGCTTTTGTTAGTCGAGAAACTTACGAGAACCAACCAGTGACTACGTTTATATATGCCCAGTTGAAAAGGATAAAAGTAGTTTTTTGGATTCATAATTTGATAATTGTTCCTCGTTAAACATAATTTACTTCACTGACAGATGCGGCGAAAGAATGCTAGCTTCGCTATTACACAGTAAAATTTGAAGGAAAAGCACGCTTTACAGGTGCACGTTTCCATGTGTGAATCATGTCGATATTTAGTTTCTTTATATCAGTGTCGTTACAAAATGTCAACTTCTTTTATTATAAAAACTTGACATATTTTTCATTTCTAACAAATAAATCAAAATATTTTTATGTTTTTATATTTGACCCCTGTTGTAAAAATACTGACTAAAAAACATATTAAAAAATGAAAACACCGAAACGTTCTGTCTAAAGATCTTTATAGTGAAAAAGAGAGAGAGAACTTATGAAACCTTACGTTGTTTAAAAGCGATATAAACTTAAACAAAATATTGAACCAATAAATAAAGGTGAGTTTTGGATTACTAATAGATTTTGTTAGCCGGTAGGCTAGAGAGTTCTAGGTTGTACTAAGATGTTTACAACTATTTTAAAAACGTTTCTTTTTCTGGACTTATCGTTTCTTGTTGTAATATGGATAGAAAACTTCTATTCTATATGGTTGTAAGTTCCATTAGAATAAGCAAAATATTGGTAATCAGTTAAAATTAGGATATAGTCGTGTTGGAGCGGCTTTTTCAAGACACAAAAAAGCTTAGCCCACATGGTATCATACATTGTTACTGACATGAAATAAGAGCTTTTCTAAAACTCTATCCACATTGTCTACGTACCTTTAAAGTTACCTTAGAACTAGGAACTCCCAATACTTTAAGAATTTACTACATATATGTAGTTGATACTAGCTAAACATCAGTTCCATTAATTGTATAGCAGTTAAATACAATAGTTTTTGCTAATTACTTTAATTGTCATATTTACCATTGTTCTTACTTCGTTCTTCTAAATCTTATTATTATTATTGAACTTTAGACTCTTATCGCGTGGACGTTTCGGCTATTATTGAGGATTTAACTTTATTTGTTATTTCCTCTTGCCCGTTCCATGTGTTTTGTGAAATAACAGAGGTTGAGTAGGGTTAGATTAATTATGTTAGATATGCTTCACAGTATGTTTAATACATTGTTTTTATTTTTTATTACATTTAACATGGATATAATTAACATGGATATAGAGTATCAATACTCTAGCTATTTATTGTACGAGTCAGGTATTCATTTAACTTATTTATTATTTCGTACCTTCACAAATATTACTTTTTTTTACTGTACTGTTAGCAGTTTCCCACTATTTGACTCTATACCTAAAAAGTAACATGTGTCTTGGCAATTTATCTCAGGTGTCAAGTTCCTCTAAAGTTACATTGTTGGAGCCGTTTAATGGGCTTTCATTGGGCACAAAACGTTGTTGGGGAGAATTGTGTAAAGATTTGTTTTAACGCGTCTATACAGGTGTTAATTTATTCAACGAGCACTAAACCTACGACACTACATGAAGCTACCAACTAATATTTATCTGTTTTTTTAGTAAGGTATACTCTAGTCTTTCATTGACAGTATTGGTTAAGATCTTTGATATATCTAGTTTTATTATTATGCTTTTATAATAGAGATTATTTCACATTGTTAGCTCAGTATACAGATTTAGGACTAACCTAAATCGATTAATCTGGTCGCATTTTGTGAAATATTATTGGGTTTACGCCCTAAAATATTGTAAATAGTGAGAGTAGCTAATAAGACGAAACATTTTCTAATCTTTATGAGTAAAAATGTAAGAATTAAATATATTCAGTTAGTTATATTTATTGCCGTGTTGATTTTATTTTTATTTTTGATCGGAAATTAATATAAATTTAAACATATTTGTTATACTGTACGTCTCTCAGTCCAGTTTAAAAAGTGGGCTATAACATGTAAATATATATTTTCATAGGTCCATTGTCGAGAAAACATATGATGTTTTTACAGATTTCTACCTATTGAAAAGTGTTCTTTGGAAAACGTGATAGACCTATTATGGTCCCAATATTATTGTGATTTTATGAGAGGTTTGATGTTTATCAAAGAATACTTTTCAATTTATTAGATTTTTGTTATAGGTTTTGGTTATCTTTACTGTGAAGAACGTTAACCCTTTTCTTCAAAGTCCTGTTTGAGCCCATTTTTTTATGAAACATAGGTTTTATACGTCATTTACACGAAACAATCGGACCGATTTCAAAACATGGGCTTATTTGGAGTCGTGTTACTGTTGTAAAACATTATAAGCTAACTTAATGACGTATGTTGGATGAACTAATATCTACCAAATTACAAACTTCAGGATTTGGCTTGTTTTTTGTTTACAAGGAATAGGTATTTATTTAAGTGATACGTTTGTTTGTTTGTAGTTTAGCACAAAGCTACACATCTCTGCTGTGCCAACTAGGCCCGGCATGGCCAGGTGGTTAGGGCGCTCGACTCGCAATATAAAGGTCGCGAGTTCGAATCCCCGTTCCACCAAACATGCTCGCCTTCTCAACCAAACAAATCAAACTTATTTTAAATACTTACTGTAAAATATATGTATACATTAGCGAAAGTATCCGGCTTCGTTCGGGTTGATAGAGTGTGTATTCTGAACCCGTTTTAGCATAAAAGTATAAGCTACATACTTTTGTTGCTAAGCAACATGATATAAAAGCCATTGTTGGAACACATTGTTACCAAAACGCACGGGTTTTTCTATATATTAGAAGTTGTTATATAAGGAATAACTTCTTTTCTTTGGTTTTTCGCTAGCTTGCCTCAAAAAAGATGCGCACGCGCATGCACGCACGCACATGGATAAGATAAGAAATACCCAAGTGCACACCTTCAGGGTCCACTTAGTATGTGTGTAAAATTTTAGGTTTCTAGGTTCTTTCCTCTTGGAGCTATGACGGTCAAAAACACACAAATACGCACATGCGTATCTGTCTGCCTGTCTGTGATTTCTATTTGTAATATAAGGAACCACTTCTTTTCTATGTGGTTTTTGCTAGTTTGCCTCATTAAAAAGATGCGCACGCACGTAGATAAGATAAGTAATAACACTCAGGTGTACACCCTCAGGATACACTTAATATGGGTGCTAAATTTTCAGGTTTCTAGATTCTTTCCTCTTGGAGCTATGGCGGACAAATTTCTTTTCTATGTGGTTTTTCGCTAGCTTGCCTCATAAAAAGATGCGCGCGCGCACGTAGATAAGTAATAATACCCAGTTGCACACCCTCATAGTCCACTTAGTATGTGTGCAAAATTACAGGTTTGTAGGTTCTTTCCTCTTGGAGCTATAGCGGTAACAAACACATAGACCCGCCCTTTTATTATTATACTAGCTGAGTTACCCGGCGTTGGTCGGTGAAAATTTAGATTTTAAATGTATAGATCAGTATTTTTGTCAGCAAATTATTCAGTAAGTAGACAAAAGCTGTGATGCGAGAAATAAAAAAAACATTTAATCAAACAAAGCTTTATTTGAAATTAGATCGTGTTTGAGCTTGTCTTGTTCTTTGAGCCTGAAGTCGTACATAATGTTGCTCCTCTGTTTCTTGCTCTTTGTAAGTTATTTGTCTTAATTTTTGTGCTTGAAGTCTGGTTTGACGTTGTTCAGAAGTTTCTTGTTGTCTATATCCAGCTTGCCTTGATGATTCTGACTAAATTCTGGCTTTGTGCTGTTCAACAGTTTCTTGCTGTCTTTGAGTAGCCTGCCTTTCAGCTTGAGCTCGAAGTCTAACTTTACGTTGTTCCAAAGTTTCTTTCTGTATTTGAGCAGCCTGTCTTGCAGCTTGTACTTGAAGTCTTTGATTGCGTTCTTCTTCTGTTTCAGCTGCTCTTTGTGCTTGCATTCTTTTAGTGGCAGAAGACTTTCCATAGAAAGGGCGTTTCTTGGGTGGCATAATCACCTGTATCACTAAACAATAATTTGCAATTCACAAAGTTACTAAATCACTTAGCACTATTTAAAGAAAATTGTTTTTGGAAATACCGAATTGGCAGCAAGGTGATCTGAGTGTCTCCCGCCATAACGCTTTCTATGTGCAAAACGTGCTTATGTTTGTATGTTTATTACAAAAAAAAAAAAAAG